ATCCTCTCAGAGCTCAACACCCATAAACCCCCGATCCAATTCCTCCAATGAAACTGCACATCCCGCCGAACGAGAAGGTCTCTTGGGCCCTGATATCGGCGCCAGAATTCCAGTTCCTACCCGCAGAGCTGGTTATCGCCCTCCTCCCACTGAAGATGGCATTTCGAATCGAGGCAGTACGGAACAAGATACGTTTCTAAATCAACATGGAGAACGCCAAAGTGAGGACGATGATGAGGTGCGCAGAGAGATGGAAGAGATGGAAATACAAGATCCGCAAACCGAACAATCGACGTGGGGGAAACGAATGTCGAGTCTTTCCGCATCGTTATCGTCGCGAATACCTTGGATACGGAGGATTGGTTGGCCAAAAATCGATGCGAATTTTTGTATAGTGATTGGGAGGATTTTCGCAATATTGCTCGTTATGGCAGTGGTTTATTTGCTGTTTATGAGTGATTTGTTTTCGAATGCGGCAAACAGGATTGGAGGACAGATGTTCCCTGCGGAAAGCGTGAGGATATTTGTACAGGAAAGTGTTTCGGAAGAGAGAATTATGAGGTGGATGAATAGAATCACGGAGACGGATCATTTGGCGGGTACGGAGGGAGATTATATTTTGGCAGAGATCGTTCAAGAACTTATGGTGAAGAATGGATTGGAGGATGTAAAGATGGATGAATATGGAGTATATCTGAATTATCCAAAGGAGGGAGGAAGGAAAATCGAATTACTTGGCGAAGATGGGAATCCAATTTGGCAGGCAAAGATTGATGAGCCGCAACTTTATACAAACCCACCGAGACAACAGACACCGGTTTTCCATGGACATTCGAAAGCAGGAGATGTTACAGGTCCATTGATATACTGTAATTATGGTTCGCAGGCCGATTACAAACGATTTTACGATAGTGGAATCGACACGAGAGGGGCAATTGCTTTGGTCAGGTATTATGGTACGCAAGGAGACAGAGCTTTGAAGGTCAAGGCTGCGGAACCTTGGGGTTTCAAAGCTGTGATTATGTACAGTGATCCTGCAGATGATGGGTTTACTTTAGGTGATACCGCCCCCAATGGTAGATATATGCCCAAAGATGGAGTTCAACGAGGCGCAGTCAGCTTGATGAGCTGGGTCGTTGGAGATGTTCTTACACCTGGATGGGCAAGCGTCAAAGGAGCGAAACGTGTGTCGAAAGAGAATAATCCAGGATTGACTAGTATTCCTAGTATCCCAATTTCGTGGGGAGATGCGCAAAGACTTTTACAATCTCTTCAGGGGTTTGGAGATGAATGTCCTCCAGAATGGCAGGGTGCAGTTCCTGATGTTAAATATTGGTCTGGAAATCTTTCAACCCCCAAGGTTCATCTAGTTAACGAACAGGATGAAGTTGAGCAACAACCAATTTGGAATGTTTTGGGAAAGATCACCGGTGTTGAACAAAAGGAGAAATCCATCATTGTTGGTAATCATCGTGATGCTTGGGTTTTTGGTGCAACAGATCCTGGTTCAGGTACAGCGGTTTTCCTCGAAGTTATGCATATCTTTGGTGATCTTGTTTCACGAGGTTGGCGTCCACAACGTACTATCGAATTTGCATCTTGGGATGGTGAGGAATACAACCTCATCGGATCTACGGAACATGTTGAAAAGAACATGGAGAAATTACGTAAAGATGCATTTGTTTACTTGAACGTCGATGTAGCAGTCGGTGGCGATACATTCCGAGCAGCTGGAAGTCCAGTTTTCAAGAAAGCACTTCTTAGAGTTCTAGATCGCACAACAGATCCTGTTAAAAACGCAACACTAAGACAACTTTGGGATGAGAGGAAAGCCCAATTAGATGGTTTGGGTGCCGGAAGTGATTATGTCGCGTTCCAAGATATGGCAGGAACTTCTTCTTTGGATTTTGGATTCGAGGGACCGGTTTATCCTTATCATTCTGCGTATGATAATTTTGAATGGATGGCTAGTCAAGGAGATCCTGGTTTTCAGTACCATAAACTTCTAGCTCAAGTATGGGCCCTTCTTATTCTTGAGTTCTGTGATAGAGCGGTCCTGCCGTTTGATATTAGAGCATACTCTGCATCGGTTACTAAATGGGTAATGGAATTGGAAAATTGGGCAGAATCAAAAGGACCAAATCAAGCTGGTAATGTACCTTGGTCAACAGAACCATTGAGGGAAGCAGCATTACAATTTGCGCAAGATTCGAGACGGTTTGAAAAGTTTGAATTGGAATGGGATGGATTGGTATTGGGAAGTGGAGGATTTGAAAGCCCGGGATTGGCAAGTCATAGGAAGAGTCATAATACTCGAATGGCGAATTTCGAAACGCATCTTTTGGATTTGGAGGAGGGTGGTGGGGTATGTTTTTTTCTTTACTTTGGGTTTCCTGTTTTTTCCTCCTCCTTTCACCTCATGTCCGCCCGTATTCCTCATATTCCCCTTCTTCCCCATATCCTCTCATCGATATCACCTACTAACGTCTTAAAATAGATACCCAACAGAACACAATTTAAACATGTAATCTTTGGCCCACAACTCTGGTCTGGATATGATGAAGCATTTTTCCCTGCTATCCGCGATGCGGTTGAAGTAGAGGATTGGGGATTAGCAAAGAAATTGGTTGATAAGACAGCAGATATTATCAAAAAGGCTAGTAGGAAGATGGCGGATGGAAAGTAGGGGATTTTCTAGCCGAAGAAGGGAAAGGGGGAAGTGGTTTAGTGGGAAATACAAATATTATATCAATATTTGGATCGAGAATCAGGACAATGGATGATTCGAGATTCAAAATTTCAGGATTCGGAATGGAAAAACTTTGTTTTGTGTATGCTTTTTGATATCATACAGCGAGCGTTTGGCGTTAGACTCTTTTGTTTTTGCTTTTTTGGTATCGATTTGTTTGCAGTCGTTGGATGGGATTGCATCTAATTGGATCTTATTGAATTGCTGGGAGCGGAGACGCAACATTAAGCAGAGAAACGGAAAAGAGGCTGGTTGTGTATACATTATATTGTAGTGTATGAGATAGACAGGATAGCGTAAGTGATTTGTATATCTACTTACCTACCTATCTGTGGGTTGGATGTTGGAAGTTGGATGTGAATCCGCTTCAATAGAGTTGGAAATCAGAATGGGAGTTTTAAGAATGGGGTAGAGAATATCAATGGTGAATTAATATTTCAATGGAGTTTCTTTGTTGAGAGTATTTATGAGATGGGAGTAGTGAAGTGAGTGGGAGGGGGAAATGAGAGTGGAAATGCCCACACTACTCACCATCTAGGTATCCATTACTGTAATTTCATGTCGTGAGAGGGGTTTAGTGTTCGGTTCTATATACTCTTCTTTTCTGTTCCGCTGGGATGGTGTATTATGGTCATGGGCGATGCTGTGAGACTGTCATACTGTGAGAGGGGGCCACTAGGGAGGTATGAGAGAGGTATGTAGGTGTTTGAGTTTCTTTTCTCTTCTTTTTTTTTCTGGGGCGGGGAGGGGGGAGAGCAACGAGGAAGAAGAGGAGAGATAAAGAAGTCAAGTCAAGAAGAGCAGAGGAAGAGGAAGAGGAAGAGGAAGAGGAAGAAATCAATCTCTAGTCTTTGCAAATCTCGGGATGCGTGTTATTTTCCATGGTATTCTGGTATTCACTCTGTACTTTGGGATGTGTTAAGATCTTGTTTTGTAGTTGAGTATAATATGTATACGTTATTTAAGTATATGTATGTATGTATGTATGTATATATATATCTCTAGAAATCTAGATTTCTATAAACTCGGAAATCTAAAGATCTTATATTTCGTATAAGATACAAGATACAAGATACAAGATACGACTTGAGTTGAGTTGTGTCTTGTAACTTAAATTTTTTGGACTTATGAGATTGAGATTGAGATTATACATTAACTCACTTACTCACCTTATTCACATTGTCTACTTGGGTTAGTATCAACATACCTCAACTCAACTCAACTCAACTCAACTCAATTGATTTCTATTTTATTTACTGGATTTCACTAGAAGCTGAATACCATCAAATCAACACTGGCCTTGTATTAAGTTTTGTATTCACATTTGAATAGATAGGATGCGATATAATATGATACGATACGATATGATTTGAATTGTTTTGTTTTCATTTAATGTGATTTTCTTGATTTGATTTATTGTAATTTGGTTTGCTTTGAATTTCTTCGGTTCTCCTATTCTGCTTTATCCTATCCTACTTACTGCCTCTTTCCCCCTTCTTACATTCTTCATTCTTTTGTCTTCCTCCTCATTCTTCAACTCATTCAATCCAATTCTACTCAACCCAAACAATTTCATCATTCCTCTTTCCTCTTCCCCTCGCCCTTCCCATCCAATTCCCCAAATCCCTCAAAAGCTCATCTCACAAATCATAACCACATCGCAATGCATATACACATCCCTCCCTCCCCACAACCCCTCCAAATCTCATGAAAAAGACCAATACCATCCATCCATAAACTCCAAACTCCTTTTCAACGCCCTTCCACTCCAATCCCAGACCAACCGAGCCCCTCGCCAACCCATCAGAATGCTAAACGCCATCCCATCTCCAAGAAAGAGAAAAGAAAGAGAAAGATAAAAACACCTATTCCCCATACACAAACATAAATATAAACACAAAAAGAAAACCAAGCAAGTAAACAAATCTTCAATCCCCAAACACCGATACACCATTCTTTTCGCTACCAAGCCAAAGATGCATGTATTCCCTGGCCGAAAATTTTAAAACGCCTTCTCCATTGTCCAATACTCAAATCAATACCAATCAAGACCAATGATTTGGATATGCTAAACCAAACAGTTGTGAAATCGAATGAAAAAGGACAAAAATTGACCCGGAAAGATGGAACCACTGTTCCCAAGTAGAGAAACAAAAGAAAAGAAAAAGAGAACATAAGAAATGAACGCTGTAGTGAGGCAACAATCATAATCATGTATGAGTTTCCCATCATATCCCCCCAAAAGTGACATTTATGTCTGTAAATCACCATGTCTAGGACATCCCTCCACATGTTCCGGCTTTGACGATTTTCCCTCATTCATTGTCATAGCCACCTCTCTCTTCGTATCCGGAAGTGGTTCACTAGCAGCTGCAGCCCTATACTCTCTTGCATTCATCCAAGCATTCCCATTCGAATTTCCATTTCCATTTCCATTTCCATTTCCAGTAGTCGATCCCGATAATTCTCTCAAAGGTAAATCCTTACTTTGACTCTCACGTAACTGAGGAGCCACATTTGACGAGCTAACAATGGTCGCTAAAAGCGGTCTCCCATTCGCATTCGTTTCCCGCATTTCTGTTGCCACTTCTGAGTCGCGTATGGGGATATGCTCTGCTTTCCCGCGGGGTTTACTAGTTCCAGCTTTGGGAACTGTAATTGGAGATGGTTTTCTGGATCGTCTCGTGTATCCATCTGAGGAGCTGCAAGAATCTGTCGATGAACTTCTGTTTCGATCGTGTTGTTGTCCTCTGTTTGTAAAAGAACGGATCTCCAATTTGGAAGGAGTTTCTCCACGTTGGACTTTGGCATCGATAAGTTTTTCCGTAACGATTCGTCCTAATGGTTGGCCCTCTGTACCTCTTCGACTACTTCCATGACTACCGGCTCGATTCCTACTAGTACTGACTACTCTCTCCTTACCCTCCATTACCTTCGCCGAAGGAGGTGGTTGTATCATCCATCTTGTTTCTTCTCTACTCCTTGGTGCCGTACTCACAATTGGTGGATGTAAATCGTTCACTGGTGGGTTCCTCGCAATATAATACGACTCTGGATTTCCATCCGATCCATGTCTACTACTAGGTCTCCCATCCATATTGAACATCCTCCCCGCGGATTCCGAAGCCCTTGTAATTGCATCCATAATTCTATGACCCGGTCCATAAGTTTCCCTGCCCCAAAGTTGCTCATCCTCTCGTTGATATCGTTTCCTATTCCATCCCTCTCCCGATATTCGAGATCCTTCTTCAACAACTGTAGGACTGCTACCTGTATCCGTGCTCATCCCCGCACTACTCGCATAACTACTCCCTTGACCCGCTGTATTCAGCCCTCTCTGACTTCCATTCTTATCCTTCTTATTTCCTTTTTTATTCGGTGGACCGGGCCCCATCATGATTTCTTCGGTCCAATATGGATTCGTCGAGAATGGGGAAGGATGCCTATACAGGCCCGGTTGTTCGGTTTCCAAAGCATGTTTTTCGACTCGTTCTCGTTTGGCTTGTTCTTTGGCTTTCCTTCTATGGCTAATCTTGGCGCACGTAGCGCAGGATAATACATAGAATGCAACGGATTGTAGAGCAACATCTATAGACATGGTTTCCTCAATTCTTTGATATGGAGATAGGAGAAGAAACGTCTATAGAATTGTGAAATGAAGAGATGATCTTTGGAAAAAGTTTAACGCATGAAGGTGACGTTGCGCGGTTCACTCATTCTGTGGTTGGTTGCGGCTTGTTTCGAAATTGGGAATGAGAGGATCCTCCACTAGGGAAATGCTGGTTTGAAATATGCGGGATGGGATGGATCCCTTTCGATGATCCCTCGAGAGGTATTGCTTAAAGTGAGTTTTTGGTATTGAATATACAAACAAGTAAATATTGAGTTTTGAGTTATGAGTTATGATTCCCGAGAAATGAACTCTCGTATGAAGTGTATGGAAGTATGGAAGGATGAAAGGTATGATTGGTGGCTTTCGTGGCTGGTAGGTTGATCAAGTAGCCAATCTTAATCCAGCGTCATCAAATGAATTTTTCCAGCACCAATTGAATGTAGGAAGTTATAGTTTGAAGGATCGACAATGACAATGGTGTAACAGATGATTAGACTGGCTAATTATAAGTCGTTTGAATTCTTTGGTGGTCCTCTGTAATTTCTATGTTGATACTTCTTCGAGTCCAAGCGGAAGGGAAGGGAAGGGAAGGGAAGGGAAGGGAAGGGATGAGATGGGATGGGATGGGATGGAATGATGGTGTTGGTGATGGTGAAGGACTCTATTCCGGATAGTCTGTTTGAATGGGTTTGAATAGGTATGATAAGACTTTGGCGGTATGTGTCTGTTCGATATTGGCTCAATTGATTCAAAGTGAAGAACAAGTATGAAACAGAAGAACAATACTAATGAATCGTATTGGAAGTGATGTCAGAGATTCAATTGACCAGACCCAGTTCGTATTTTGTCTGCCCTTATTAATTGAGGGTTGGATGAAAGGTCGGTATGAAAGGTAGTGAATGTAAAAGGATTCCGATATCTTTTTAGTCCCACATACTCTCTCTCGAGTCTCGAGTATATAATACGAATGAACGAACGATTGGATGATGGATGAGTGATGATTGAATGTATAGGTATAATAAATGTATAAGTTAACTACATGAATTAATAAATCCCTCCCTTTATCGATAACCAGGGGTTCAATTAAACGGCCAAGCGATTGAGATCTAGTTGAGGAGGGAGAAACGAGATACAATCTAGTAGCTACCTACCTAATAATGAGTAGTGATGTTTCTCAACATATTTTATTACTCTGATGATCCATTGTGAAATCTATCTCATTTCAATTGGGATAATCGAGAGTGAAGGATGGGGAAACCATAATACACTTCACTCGAGACTCAGCACTTCTCCTCCTCCATGAGACACGGGAAATCGGGTTCAACTCTCCAGTCCGATTAGGTGCGGTACATACTTGGTACTCCATAGAAAGGAATTAACTGGGGGTATGTTATCACCCCTTGCTGCCCCATAATGTAACCTTCGCCACGAGGCGCAATGCAATGGCCTGTTATGTTTCATGAATGGGGGGTGATATCCGAGGTTAAGTTTGAGGTGGTGTTGATGTGTATGAAGAGATGAACTGGAAATTAAGATGTTTAATTCTTGATATCTATTCCACTCTCCTATAGGTTTTGTGTATATCACTGAATCCATCATCATTCTATTCAGACAATCCCCCCCAATCCCAATCCTCAACCCTCACATAAGTATCCAAAACGCAATCCCTCACCTACCCATCCTCGATCCATCTATCCCCACAGAATCCCGTCCATCCACCCACCTAACAGCCTACCTAGATCCCAAATACCTGCTGAGAAAACATACCGAGTAGCAAGTACCCATCACGTCCCTCCCAAGCCCGCGCAATACATATTACTCCGTAGTCCGTACGTACAACTCACCTGCCGTTTTTCTCGATTTCAAACTCCAAGCTTCCAAGACCCCTAATCAGTAATCAACAATCAGTATGGTAATACAAGAACAAATGAAAATACCGAGGAGAGAGACCCTGAATAATTGTCTATCCATATTTGTATCCGCTTTTGAGATATCGGTGAAGTGAGTACGGTAGGAGTACCATACCAGTACCCAGATACCTAGATATAAATCCCAACTTATCCAACTTCCTACTCGTAGATTCAATCTATCCGCCATTGTCATTACAATTTTTTACTCTACCCGCATACCTATCCTATCCTATCCTACCCCGAAAAGCAATATCTACTTAGAATTCCAAAATCCAAATCCAAATCCAAATCCAAATCCAATCTCCAACACCCTCTCTCTGATCTGGAGAGTATTCCAGTACCTATCTACTAGCTATTTACCTACCCGTGGTACAGACTCAAGCCAGATAGTCCCAACATCCACACATGTCGTGTAACCACACACAATCCGAAGTTCTGGTTTGGAATTATAGAACTTTGGAACCGTTAAATTTTGACATTTGATCGGCTGACTTGAGGACCAGTATCAAGAACAACCTGTGGCTATGTGTGTATATACGAGCTAATTCCATTCTATTCAGGTGACGAAGTTCCAATTTTTGATTTCTTTCGTAAATAACTTGTACAAAGTATATCTTTTCGTTACCTAATTAATTCAATATGATTGGTCTGATCGTATTACTGTATATATTCTCACGAGTGCCGGGTAATGCTAAAAATAAGATATAAGGTGTCTGGATAGGATAAGGTAGTCAGGTACCCTATAATTAATGAGCTGTGTTTCGTGATTTTTGAATTATTAGGTTATGAATTCAGGAACTCATATCTAAACCCCCCTCTACTTCGTCAACATCTAATTTATATTGTCCCTTACAATGAATGTACTCAAGTGTTCGAGTATCTAATCCATAGAGGCATCTAACCTTAATTTGGCGGGTTTTTTATTAATACGATACTAGAATATTATACGATTCTATATCAAGAGATAATACATATAGATGAATAAATATTGAACTACTCTCTCGTATTGCTGAGATCTGGATTGGTTACTACTAGATATCTATATATTAATAATAATTATGATACAGTTGGAGTAATGAGGTTTAGTCGTTTGGGGGGAAGGTGGTTTATTTTGTTATTATTTTCTGGCGACGATAGTGATGAAAGTGACGGATAAGAGTGCGATGATGTGAGGATTTTCATTTAGATGTTTAAGTGTGTCTGTATGTAGTTGTATGGGGATAGATAATCATGGTTGCTTATGTCCTGCTGTAGAGTCTAGCATTGCTGGATGAATGTAGGATGGAGGTAAGTTATTAGAGGGATTGTGATGGATATTGGTTTATTGTGCGTGAAATTATCTTCATTGGTGGTAAGTATAATATCGCGAACGGGCAATTGTCAAGAAAGTGTGAGTAAATATACATGTAATTAACACCCTGATATGTACTCTCAGAATTAACTTTTTGTTTTTATATTTGAAGACTCGTTTTCAGCTCAGAAATTTCTGATGGTTAGATATGCAATAGAGGGATACTCATAGAAGTATCTATCATCGCCAAAGTAGTATCACCACATTAGTGCGTTAGCGATCTAGAGAAATAATCACAGCTACCTACATACCTACATACCTATCTACAGTCAGTCATATCCACAACATACCTTCTAACCATTCCTCCATCTCATCAATCCCACCATGTCCCTCTCAACCCTCCAACCCAACGCACTCTACATCGTCCTCTTCAACCGCGGCTACCCCAGCCAACCCGTCGATTTCCACTGGGCACTGTACCTCCATCACGACGCCCAAAAAGACGGTCTCAAATACCACGTGCGAAATCGCGGTGCAGGCTGAACTGTAGATCACGAAAGCACAAAAGGGATTATGAAAGAAGCGCTTCTTGTTTGTCTTGTTCAAATTGCGGCGATTCCTGATGGGAAAGAGGAGTATGAGAATGAGGTGTTTAGAAGTCTGGATGGGACGCTGAACGAAGGGGAAATTACTTGTCGGACGTGGATTTTAAGGGTGTTGGGATTGTTGATGAGGAATGGAGTGAAGATACTGGTATGTGAGAGTATTGAGGGGTTGGAGAGGGAGGTTAAGGATTGGGGGAATAGGTATATGGATGAGGCGAATGAGAATGTGCAGCCGAGACCGGTGGAGGTTTCGAGGGTTTGTGGTTTTTGAGGGTGAGGGTGAGGGTGAGGAGAGTTAGACTTGACTCGACTCGATTCGTATCGCACAATGTTTACAGTAAGAATTGTGATTGAGACCTGGTGGACATTTCAGTGGGATTTCGCTGGACTTCTGCTCGAGCTACCGAATCGAACAGAAATTTGCAGGATGGCGAATACGCGGGTTGATTTCTGAGATGCATGACCGCAGCGTGGTATGTGCGGATATCGAACAGACCGACGGTGAAGAAGTATGAACAAGCACTAACAAGCTCACAATACTCAGAAACGACATCCATACTTCATTAATATGATTCATCATCAACCATCAAACCCATTGCGATTCATAATTATTCAAATTCTAAACAGTACGAAGTACATACCTACATACATACCCAAGTATCAATCCGAATACGATATTATCTAGTTCAACTGTTCATGTAATTCTCTCCATAAGGCTACTTTCATCCGTGCCAAGGAGACTACCTCATCGACTGCGTTAGCTAATCGATCGTTGACTTGAAACTAGTGAGCTATATGTCACATATAATATGTGAGAATAGCGTATGCGCTTTTTCTCGGCTTGTTATTAAATGGCTGGTGTGAATCCGTGTGATGGCTGGTGTGGTGGCTGGTGTGAGGATTTCCGCTGGTAGGGGTTATGGATTGTTTATTGATGATGAGGTGGATTGAATCGGGCTGTGATATTGAGAGTCGTGATTAATGAAATGACTTGGTGGTTTTATAGATTTAAGGAAAGTCCTAGTTTGTAGATGCGGTGGAGTATATGATAAAATGTAAAGGCTCTGGCTGGCGCGTGTATAAGTTGGTGACTATATTAGATCCCGAGTAGAGTATAGTATAGTAAGTCCCTCATTCGATTTGATATAGCCGCTTCAAGGGAACGAGGAGGATATATCGCCAAACTGTAAACAAGATACCATTTCCAATTGGTCAATAGAGGAAATGCATCTCCCACCTCAATCAAATTCGTACTCATACAAGGATTCTTCCATACTTCACATATTACTTCATACATAAATGATCGCCCTTCCCCTGCTGGTCCGTGATTCTAATGGAGAACCTTAAGCCCCACCAGATGCGACAGATACACCATATAATTTCTTTGTATTTGATTACATTCTTGGCGTTGTATAAGCCAAGAGAAATTTGGGGGAAGTGAGAATTTAACTTGTTTTTGATAGAAATGAATGATAATGGTTGTTGTTGTTGTTGTTGTTGTCATCGCCACGGTGACATTTGCTTTTCAGGAAGTAGAAGCTTCTATCTTGTTTTGGATTCTACGTCCCGTGAGAGAGTGAATTGACATTTCTATACCTACCCATCTAATTGCGATCAGAGGGAATCTACTTAGTGAGTAATTCGAGGTTGCACAAAGCATTGTACACGCATTTGGGTCAACCGGTAGGAACGGGGACGGGCCGCACCATTTACTCTAAGAAAAGATCAACAATTTAATCTTCTGCTTCTCCCTCGCGCACATCATCGACGGAAAACACCAATAATCATACATACACATAATCCACAGCTTCCGAATTCTCAGCTCCCATTAACAATGGCAGCTCACTATCGTGACGATATTCTTCACGGAAAAGAGCATATTGATACCCACGCATCCTCGAATCCATGGCGCCACCAAGAATCCACCGCATTTTCTAATCATGCAAACGTCGGAGCTCGAGGAGCAGATGGCAGAAATGAAAAAGAGGATTTGACTAGTTTTCTCAAGAAATCGCGAGTCGAGAGCAAAGGTTCACCAAGTCCGCATCGACCAATTGTTCTAGCTGGAAATGTGCAGGCCGAGGAATTCGAAGCTGCGAGGAGGCAACAAGAGGAATTGGAACATATTGACGCTCTGAATGGGGTGCAGAGGACAGGCGCCGGGGCAACGGTGAAGTGTGGTCCGTTGCTTAATTATAGACGGATGGAAAATGATGTTTGGTTTGGAAGTGTGTTGATTGTAGTTGATTCGCATACGGTGAGGCAAGACGCGGTACCGGAGTTGAGGTTACGGGTTCAAGAGAGAAGACAGGCTACACAAAATGGTAATGGGACGGGTATTGCCACTGGGAATGAATATTTGAATGGTCATGATCAAGCGCCTGGGATTATTAACGGGGTAGATTATTCTGATAACGTGAACCCGACACAAGGATCAAATGGCAATATCCCACAACAAAATGGAGTGTCCGATACTTCCAGCGATTTGGAAGAAATCAAAGTTAGAGGAGTTAAGCTTTATGCAGATGTTGCGAATACTTTCTGGAGATTTCAGATTCAAGTCCCAATGCTACAAGAAGAACTTCAATGCGAATACACAATTCCCGGTCTCACATTTGCTCAAGGAGGAAAGACGGATAGACAAACCTTTTTCGTGCCAGCGGTTACCGAGAGTATGAGAATCATGTTTCATTCTTGTAATGGATTCAGTGTGGGAACAGATGAGGATGCCTATAGTGGTGCTTGTCTTTGGAGAGATGTTGCACGACAACATGAGAAAGCTCCTTTCCATGTCATGTAGGAATATTCTCGACCTCGAAGCGGATACAAACTGACAGTCGATAGGCTTGGCGGTGGAGACCAGATTTATAATGATGGAATTAGAGTCAATGGTCCTCTGAGAGCTTGGACTGATATCGGTAACCCTATCAAGAGAAGGGAATATCCTTTTCCCGAACAGTTGAGGAGAGATTGTGATGATTATTATGTCAAGAACTATATTCGCTGGTAAGTCAATAGTTGGAGTAGAAGATCTAGGGTACAAAATTGACTAGGATACAGGTATTCCACAGAACCTTTTGCTGCGATGAATGGAAAGATTCCTCAAGTCAATCTTTGGGATGATCATGATGTAGGTGTCTTTTGTCCCATGATAAACTTAGAAACTAATCAATTTAATAGATTATTGATGGCTTTGGTTCATACGTTGATGAATTCATGCGTTGTCCCGTTTTCCGCGGTATTGGTGGTGTTGCTCATAAATACTATTTACTCTTCCAGCATCATCTTCCACCTCCGGCATCTACATTCACCACTGGTGCGTTTTTCTCTGGACGATTGTTTTGTCACACACTAACATTTCTCAGATGCACCTCAGACTATGTCCGCGAACGGAGGCGGAATTGACCCACGTCAAATAGAAAACACTTATGTATTAGAGAATGATGTTCCTGATCCAAGTTATATCATTGGTGATAGCCCTGGTGTAAGTGATTTCGCGTTGTCTCATGGATCAAGCTGATCATTTGCAGCCATATGTAGCAGAGCGCTCCCGTAGCATTTATGCAAGATTGGGCGCAAGAGTTGCTTTCTTTGGTATTGATGCTAGAACAGAGGTAAGAAGTCACAATTCTCAACCACGGTAATATATTGATCTTTGATCTAGCGTACACGTCATCAAGTGAACTATCCAGAAACATACAAGAAAATTTTCGATCGTCTTAGAGAAGAACTTGCAGCCGCAAAAGATTCTCCAAGTCCTATTCAACATCTTATTATTTTACTCGGAATTCCTATCGCTTACCCAGTAAGTCTTATACTACAATCTTAATATGCTCTAATACTAATATTTGTAGCGTTTGACATGGCTAGAGAATATTTTTTCGAGCCCCTTAATGGGCCCACTCAAATTTATGAATAAGCGATTTGGATTTGGTTAGCGATATTTTGTATATCCATTTATCTATAGCACTTGCTAACCCTCATTGCTAGGTGGAAGTTTCTTCAATCATTTCGATGGCAGTGTAGATCTTCTTGATGATCTCGATGATCATTACACAGCACATACCCATAAAAAAGAACGTCACTACATTGTCAAACAACTTCAATCCCTCGCATCCGAATTCTCAGTCCGTATCACCATTCTCGGTGGCGACGTACATCTCGCTGCCGTTGGACGTTTCTACTCAAATCCTCATTTGAAAATCCCAGTTTCAACAGATTACAAGTATATGGCAAATATCATTTCTTCAGCAATTGTTAATAAGCCTCCTCCGCAAGCAGTCGCGAATCTATTGGCCAAGAGAAATAAAATTCATCATTTGGATAAAGAGACCGATGAGACACTATTAAGTTTCTTTGATAGAGATCCAGGAGATGAAAAGAAAAGTAGTAAGAGTAATACTGTTACAATGCCAAGTCGAAACTGGGCAGTGCTCACAGAAAACCCATCTTCCTCGGCATCATTTTCCATTCCTCACCCCAACGAAAATGGAGAAATACCCATCGACTCCTCCTCAGGACCCTACGATCTCCCTCCTTCCGAAACACCAAAAGATGGACACTCCCCCCTCCACAAGGGTGAACAGGGCGCAGGAAGCGCATATAAATCAGCGGATCCGCAATTTCACGGCAAGAGCGCAGATGGAAGTTTGGATGTGGTGATTCGAGTCGAGATTGATCAGCATGATGCGGAGGGAAAGACGAGGGCGTATGGAATGAGCGTACCGGTTTTGAGATATAAGGGACAGCCGTTGGTGGTGGAGGAGGGGAGGAGGAGTTGGGCTGGGGGGAGGAGAAGTTCGAGGGAGAGGAAGAGTAGGACTTCTGTTGCGGGGAGGGGGGGGAGCGCGGGGAGAGAGGGGGTTTAGATGTGAGGGGGCTTGTGGGTTGAGGAGGGAGGGGGGGGAAGGATGAGTGGGTGGGTAAGGGATTAATGATGAGGATGCCGGGAAAAGGGATTGTTGAGTAGTTGAGGGAGAGATATGATATGTTTTCAGAAGAACGGATACGTATGTTACGTTGATAATAGTATATCCATGTCCATGGACTGGATTGGACGGGTTGGGGATTTTTTTGATACCAGGATTGCGATTCTTTCCTCTCTTCTCTCTTAATAATTGTATTTGTAATTAATTAAATATTGTATCGTTATTATTATTGTCACTGGTATTGTCATTGGTATTGTCATTGGTATTGTCATTGGTATTGATTGTCATTGGTATTGTCATTAATATTATTATTAGTTTTATTATTGGTATTGGTACTGCATAA